GATAGTTAACTGATTGTGTCAACATGAGTAACACCCAACTAAATTGGCTCAGCATAATTCTGGGTGTGGAAGACCCACGTGGGCAGGCTTGTCACCTGAATGGTATAAAAGGGAAACGAAGGAAGTCTCACTTCTATTTCTTTGGAGGAGCTTCCGTCTTTGCTTTCACCTTGGATGTCTTCTCCTGGCTTCCAGTGAAGACTTTACAGCCTTCCACCACTGACTCTTTGGCCTCCTGATACGAAGTCACATGGGATACTACACCGAGCTCCAGCCTTTTGACAGGACACTTGGATATCCAGTGTGCAAACAGACCTTTTGCACTCTTCCACACCTGACTCTAATGGCAGCCACTGTAAGTCAATCTTGCAAATTCTTATGTATTAATATATCTTACATTAAATCTACTTCTCTAGTAAGCACTGACTGATACAAGGATTTACACATCGAGACTACTGTGAAGCTACAGTAATCAAGGCAGTGTGGAAATGGTGAAAGATAGATAAAACAATGGAACAGATCAGAGAACCCAGAAATAGGCCCACAGAAACACAGGTAACTGATTTTTTTTGTTTTTCTTTCTTTCTTGCAGTAGTGGGGATAGAAGCCAGGGCCTTGTGCAGGATAGGTAAGTGCTCCACCTCTGAGCTACTCCCTGGCCTGGTAACTAAACTTTTTTCAATACAATAAAGGAATTACAACACAGAAATTATAGCTTTTTCAACAAATGGTGTTGAAACAACTGGAGATCCACATGTTAAAAAGACAGACCTCAATCCCTCACAAAAATTAACTCAAAATGGATCATAGACCTCAATGTAAAATGCAGACTATTCTCACCTAAAAAAATAACATAGAAGAAAATGTAGATGATCTTGGGCTTGGCAATGACTTTTTAGATACAACATTAAAAACATAATCCGTGAAGGAAATTAGTAATAAGCTGGATTTCTCAAGAGGACCAGTCATATGTGGGAATTGTCTCCTTTTTGCTTAATTTTACTGTGAACCTATAATTCCCCTGGAAAATAGAGTCTATTTAAAAAAACCAAATCAATATATATATATATGTACTATTTTATTTCTATCTCCATTTTATAGATCGGAGAAATTGAAGCATATGTTCAGGTAGCTACTCCGTAGTGGAGCCAGGATATGAAGCCAGAGAGCTCACCTATCCATGGGATCCCTCCTATAGCATCCATTACTCTGATCAGGTCTTGGGCTCAAATGGACAGATCTCATTCAGATTGTTACCAGGTTTTGGGGTTCTGGGACTCCTAGGATTCTTTTTAGGTTCTTCTTATCCTGAACAAAGAACTGGACAAAATAAGCATGAAAGGTAGTGAGGTTTTATATTTATTAAAGGTAGGAAGAAAAACATACTCTGCAGAGTGAGAGTGGGCCAACTAAAGAAGGAAAAGAAGTATAATCTATGGTGTGAGAGTGAACCACCATGAAAGAGAGAGCATAGTGGCCACCAGGTTAATGAGTGTCATCTTTTGTATATCCCAAACCTCAGCCTGACATCAGGTGTAAGCCATCCTAACAAAAACCTGCTTGAGTTCTTTTGAGAATTGAAGCTAGTACATTCCTGTTAGTTTTAGATGCAGGGCTTGAAACTGTTTTTCTGTACACTCCCTGGATCTCCATTATTGTCTGGTCATTCCCACTTGCTCAGCCATTTTTCCATGCTCTAATCTCCTGCCTCACATTGGCACAAACTCTTGAAGGCAAGGCCGACAGAGATCAACCCTCTTCTTACAGTGGGCTAAATTTGAAAGTAAAAGGAGGTCCCGCTAACTTCCTAACTCAAAAGACAGGTCAGAGGAACTGCAGAAAATAGTTTTTCTAGTCAGCTAATGAGTAAGGCAGCTAGCTAGGGGATGTGCCTGAGACAGAGTTGGGTGACCAGCCATATTGATAAAGATTAAGAATAGACAGGGAATTAGTGCTTTTCCTCAGGCAATATGGGATGCAGTCCACTCTTTACAAAAGGGAGGTACAGCCACTCCCTATTAAGTGTCTGAGTTCTGAGAAAATTAAAAATGCAAAATAACCATTTTTTTCCCGCTAAAATCCCAGTTTCCTTTAAACGCTAAATGTTGAAAAACAGGTTTAGAAGCTTGAGTTCCAAATGGTCATTTTAAATCCACAGAGCCACCTGTGATAGGTGGCCACTAAACAATCGAGCGATTCCTGTGCTCTGTTATCTATAATTAGTTCTGGATTGGGAGGTCATGTGGCACCCACTCTGGATCCCTTTTGGAAATCCTGGAGCTATTCTTCTTATTCTTATTTTCAATAAAACTCCCCTGACCACTTCTCTTGGTTTGTGACTTCATTCTTAGATGTCTGTGGAACCATGAGCTTGGTACATATGGTAACAGAATCATCACACAATATTTTATACACATTTCCTCTTTTGTCTGGGCTGGAAGGTAAACCAGGCTCCTTTAATGGTGTGGACAGGCTGCTGAGTTAGGTCCAATAAGAATTTCACTTTCTCTTAAATTGTTTGAACAACCCAAATAAAAGGAGGAAAATTTATATGATCCCATTCAGTTTCTTATGAGGAAATTTCCCAAATAAGAAGCTATCAGAGGCTGATAAATCCTCTGACCTGCCTAGAAAGGGGTAGCTCAAGCTGGGCTGGAGCTTTGGGCTCCTCCTGCCTCTTTCTTCTACAGTACTGGGATGATGGGTGTATACCACCACAACAGGTTATTTTTATCCAGCTTAAAATGAGGATATAAAAGTAGCTATTTCATAGGGTGATACATGAAAGGCATGCCAGTGTATATTATTATTACTGGTCAGTGCTCTTAAGGTAGCAGGAAAGAGGATGTTGTAGACTGAATTATATCCACAAAAGAAGATACCTTATGTTGGAGTCCTAACTCCTAGTACCTCAAATGTGTGCTTATTTGGAGTAGGAATCTTTACAGAGCTAATCAAGTTAAGATGAGGGGATTAGGATGGGTCGTACCCCTCCTCCATGACTGATGTCCTTATAAAAAGGGGGGACTTGTATATGCATGTGTGCGTACACACACACACACACACACACACACACACACACGCATGCACATACACAGCACATAAGGAAGACATTATGGAGGAAGCGATTTATAAGCCAAGAGATGCCTAAGCCTGCCGGCAGCCACCAGAAGCTAGGAAACAGAGACGGAATAATTAGCTCTTGTAGTCCTCAGAAAGAACCAGCTTCCTGGTAATCTCCATCTCAAGCTGTTAGACATGACTACACCCCCCATGGTGTTGCTTCCTTAGGGTGCCCTGGCAAAGTCAGAGAGGGGCTTTGGGAACAAACTGTCACTCCCTTCTCTGGAGAATACATACCAGCTGGGGATGCCAAATGTCCTGATGGCACATTCTCCGTTCTCATCTCTTCTGCATCCTGTACCCTCTCAGCAGATTTCCTAACGGGGATGCCAGGTCCAGGGCTCCAATGAGTATCTGGTGACAGGGCATCTGTTAGTTCCTAAAATAAAGCTTAGTGGCCTTGAGCAAGTCAGCTCTCCTTGCATCAGATTGCTTATCTCCAAGATAAACCAGCCAGGCACAGGTACCTGCATCTAGCCCCAGCTGTGAAGGTGGTGGTTCCTGAGCAATAAAGGTTGGTCTGATTTTGTCTAACCCTTCATGTATCTCGTTATAAAAATATCCTCTGCCCATGTGGTGAAGCACACCTGTAATCCCAGCTACATGGGATACTGAGGTAGGAGGAGCACAAGTTTGAGGCCAGTCTGGGGAATTTAGTGAGACCCTATCTCAAAATAAAAGTAAGTAAATTAATAAAAAGGTCTGTGGGGGTAGTGCAGTGGTAGACCACTTGCCTAATATGTGTGAGGTCCTGGGTTCAGTCTCAGGACAGCAAGATAGAGGGAGGGAAGGAGGAACTCCAGAGTCTAATCTTGACTTCAGAATAATGATCAGATTAAAACAAAATAATATAACCTTTTTTATTTTTTTGAGACAGGGTCCTACTACATAGTTCAGGCTGACCTTGAATTCACTATATAGCCCAGGCCGGCCTCAAACTCACAGTGATCCTCCTGCCTCAGCCTCTCAAGTGCTGGGATTATAGGCATGAGCTACCACGCCTGGCTGACCTACTGTTCTTTTTTCTACTCTTCCTAAATGCTTGTGCCACAGATTGGAGCAGCGTTTAGAGAGCAGGCCACTTGCTCTTTTTAATGTTATAATAAAAAATATTTAAAAGTAAGAGGAGAAGCTTTGTTATTTATATATAGGAGGCTCAAGACAAAACTAAATTTGGCCCAGGCAAGTCAAAAGTCCAGGTTAATCGTTTTCTCATACTGAAGAGAAAAACTAATTTGAGTTAGAAAAATAATTTAAAGCAAACCAAGCATGTGTATAAAAATGTATCATTAGGTCTTCCTAACTCTGTCAGTCCCTCTGGATTTCCTTCTCTCAATCCTACTCATATTTTTCCCTCATAATGAAATATTTTTCTTCCCCCAAATCAGTCAGCTTCTGACCCCTCTGTAAGAGCCACATGGTTGGTCTTCCGGAGCCCTGGAAGGAACAAACGCCATCTGTGGTTTGTGCCTGAGGGCACAACATGTTGCTTAGTGCTGCCAACTCTTGTCCTAGGGCCGCACTGAGTAGTAGGCTGTGGCTGGAAGTCTTGTCAGAAGCACCTGACCAGATAGGATTTCATACATGTCAGTGTCCTCCTGGTTCTACGTGAAGGATTTCAGAAAATGAAGCCCATGTGATCTATGTTCTAAGAGGCACACACAAGGCACTTCATAACAAAAGTGGTTCCTTTATTCACAGATCTGTGAGCACATACTGTTTTTTCCATAAATGATATTTTCCCCCTTGGGGATTGGTTATCACAGCGCCTGGCAGCCTTCTGTGCTGTTTTATTGCTTGTATCCAGTAAGAGCGGGCAGGACACAAATCGTGATGTATGACCCTGGATTTCCCTTTGTAATAAGGAGCATACACAGTGACATACCAAAGTGAGTTTATTGACATTCCTTGAAGGTGGTAGGATGGAAGAGAAAGCGTGGCCTGAGTATCATGTGACATTTCTTTTGTCAATGCAAGCAAAATCAGTCCAGTGACGTGGACTTCTCCTGCTATGACTAGAACAAAGACTTTTTAACAAAATTGTTATAGACGTTTCCTTAGATAAACTTGAAGCTGCAGGAAGTAGGCTAATGGAACAATATTTACTCTATATACTACCTACCTCTAGGCACCTTTGTTTTTTTCTACTAGAACAAAGGGACTACATGTCACTAACAAGAAAATAACACTTTCTCTTTTGTACCTTGTGATGGTGGGAATATCCATCCCAGATTTTAATGATATAATATTGCAGTCGTTTTAATCATGAACACTGAAATACATAATAAAGCACCACATTTGTTACGTAAAGTTCTAACTACTTTCATTTGAAAGTGTTTTCATCTCGACTGGGAAAACATTTGTGGCCTTTGAGAAATGTTCCGAACCCAAATTTCATGCACAGGGTTTGACACGTGGACTGACAATCCTATTGATACATTAGAACTGTCCTGAAAAACCAAATTCACTGGCTTGCCGCACAAGTGTTCTTACAGTTAAAGGACATGTGATCATGTATTAAAAGGAAAAAGATTTAAATACTGCATATTTAAATCCTGCCAAGAAATCATATATCTTTTCTTCTTAATTTTCTCACCACCTTCCCTTCAATTTTTGTGCTACAAAGTGATAGTAGTAAAATTTTTTCACATCTTCTGTCCATTTATATACAGAGGAAGTCACAAAGAATTCAGTAGTAGATCTAGAATGCTTCTTCTGACCCTGCAGAATTGCCTTTTATTTTTGGCATTATTCACTTAGTATTTTAGAGTAAAATGTTTGTGGCATCCATGAAATTATTGTAATACCTTAAAGCATTTTTCAAAATTGTAACATAAATTTTCTCTTATCATTCTTGCTTGTCCCTCAACAAAGAGTCTTACACTTTTACTAAAGCTCTTGCTAAAATATAATCTTGTTTTAGAGGGGTTGTGACTTATAAGTGATTAATTTTGCAACCTTTTTTCACGAAGAAAATTCATGCTTTAAGTTTAAAAAACAAGTACATATTGCAACAAATAGATCTGCCTTACCCTTTAAATTATTTTATTTGAGGTGGTTCACAGCTCCATCTGGTGAAATTAATGGAAAAATTTAGTTTTATAGCTATTTCATTGTATATATGAGAAAATTACACATGGTTTTACAATCAGCCCTAGGTATTAGGTAAAAGGACTGGTTTCTGAGCGTTAATTCACTCTGATTTTCTTCCTTCAAGAAAGGCTCAAATGGAACACTGGAGTCAAGTTAGGCGAACTTCACATTTTCTCAGGCAACTTTGACAACAGTATCTCTTTATAGCATTTTGCACTTTTGTGAAATGATGTTCCTGTTACACTTGGTGAGCGACATCTTGGGTAAGGCATCTGTGGTAGAAGTGGTGGATAAGGAAAAGTTAGTTAAAAATCACTAACACCCATGTTACATATTTATGTATAATTTTTATGATAACCTATTCCTTCTGTATATGGTAAATATTAACTAATATAATAAATTAAGTAGATATTTATGTAAGTTGTAAAGCCCTCCAGGGACAGATTCTGTCTTTTGAGCACTTTTCTTCCTTTCCAATGCCTGACAAATAATATAAGTACTAAAAAAAAGGTGGGTGTGGTGGTGCTTGCCTGTAATCTCAGCACTCTGGGAAGCTGAGGCAGGATGATCGCTAGTTTGAGTCCAGCCCAGGCAACTTAGTGACTTAATGAGACTCTATCTCAAAAATTAAAAAAAGCAAAAATTCTGGGGATGCAGCTCAGTGCAAAGGCCCTAGATTATATCCCCAGTAGTGAGAGAATAAAAAAAGGGCTGAGGATGTAGTTCAGTATGAGCATCCTGGGTTCAGTCCTCAGTACCACAAAGAAAAACAGTACTAAAAAAGAGTTGAATGTTTGAATTAATGATTATGGATGTAAAATACCAAATTCTAAAGATCAAAGATGCCCGCCATATTAGTGATACTGTGTGAAGAATTAAGATAAGGATATGATAAAATGATTTACACAATCCTAATATTCTGATTTCATACATAACAGCTGCACTGGAATCAATTACTTTTCAGATACTGAAATGTGTACTGAATTTTACATATTCCCCAAATTCTGTACCATGTGACTTACACATTCCATCCCATGTTGGTAAATATTCTTTTTAGGTAATAATAGATATAGGTTAAATTTCTGTAACATATACTCCCTGACTGACAACAGAAAAACAGCAGCAAGTGGTGCTGGGCATTGTAACTAATTCTATTTTATTTTAGAGTTTTATTCTGCTTTAGAGTTTATTTTTGTTTTATTTTATTTTGGAGTACACGGAACACAAATAATTCCCTATCCATATACAAACTGGTATAATGAGCCACAAGACATAGCTTCACCTGAAATTAATTTTGTCTTACATTTTTCACATTTCTCCATCTTCTAATATATTGAAAATAATGTGACATTTACAAATTCAGGTCTCTTTTTCTTTTCCCAGTGAAGAAAAACACTTTCATTTTTGACATATTTCAGACAACATGGATAACAAGGTTACAAAAATAGCAAATGGCCACTGTGGTTGGGGTTATCTCAGATGTAATCAAGTAGTGAGGCTGTCTTTAGAGCCTGCAACTGTTTTTCTGAAAACACAGTTTTTGAAGTTATCTTTTGACTGAATGCTAAACGAAACTGGCTATTTATTTTGACACAAACAGACATGCCTTTGGAGGACTGCTGTGGATGGAGGAGAAGGACATGTTGCCCTTGACCCCTAACAAGCACCGTCACTCTCTGCAGCTTCTTAGTGTGGTACCTGTGGATGACCAGATGTAGAGGAACTTGACTACCATGACTTAAAAAAGAAGAAAGTCTGAAAAAATCAGCTGAAAGAAAAAATAAGGTTCACTTGCCAAGTAAGTAAACTTGGCTTTAACGAAAGTCATGAAATTATATATCCATCTTTTTTTCTGTTGTGAAGAACTATACCTAGACCAAACAAAACAGTACAGAAGCCAGGTATTCAAATCAATGCACTATGTCTTTCTCTCCTTTCTCCTGTTTGGGTTACCACATTCTATACAATACAAGGGGGTTAAGTCTCATCCTTCAGCCTACATCAGTGAAGATTTCTTTCGTAAACATGTGCACAAGTTTGTGCTTCTTGTGTGGTGTTTACTGGGGGTGCTCCCCCACCTCCCAACTTCTCTGAGTTCAAGTTGAGCCCATGGTCCCCACAATCATTGGGATGCACTGTGTCACATCAGCAGAACGCGTTTTTCTTGATGTTGTTAATTATTGGATGTGTCATATTTGCACCATTTGTCTAGGCTAGTTCCGGCTGAAGGGACTAACGCCACCTATGGATCATGAGCTGAATGTATGAAAATTTCAGTGTTGCCGCTTGTTGCCCTTTGGATGGGCAGTACACATGGGGAAAGTAGAGTGGGAGGAAAACAGAGTTGATCACCTCCTAGGTCTGGAATTGATTGTTAGAAATGATTAAAAAAAATGGTGGCTCTGCTCAGAAGACATGGGCGTATAAAAGCTTGGAATGCAAATGCTCAAATTTTCTCTTATATGCTAGAAATGGAAGTAAACATTTATTACCATTTGGTCAAGTGTAGCATAACTTGCATTCATATTTCATTGTTAGTAATGGAGGTATGTGGAGATATGCACAGACCTTGAGACAGCTGTTTTTTTAATATTGCATACAGGCTAGCAGTTCATTGAAAACAGAGGAGGGAAGCCTGAAGGTGAGATCTTGGAAGAAGGCAGTTCTTCATGCACAGCTCTGTCAATCCTGATTTGGTGTGAAAATAAAAGCCACGGAATACCAAAATCAAAGGAGAGTTGATTAAGGGAATGGGAAAGGAGTCATCCCAGAAAGGGTGATGTCACTGGCCAGGAAAATGTCAAGGCGAGGTTCCGTTTCCTCACTCAAGTCCAAAGGTGCTGGTTTCTTCTACTGCTGTCAAGAGCTTTTCATACAACATGGAGTAGGAGGGATATGGTGGGAGATCCAATCGGTTGAAGCATGTGTGTGCCCTGAATGGGGGAGAAAAGATTGGTGAGAGTATTTCAGGGGTACACCTGGCTCTGGATATATCTGTGACTTCAAAGGGAAAACAAAAGGACCATGATTGAGGACAGTTATAAAACACTGCCAACTACAAACCACAACAGACCAGTTGAGGAAAAAATTGGAACAACGAGGATGAGTGATTGGGATCTGTAAGCAAGCTATACTATTGAACCAATGATCAACTCTATGGTACCAGCTGGCTTTTGCAACTGAGACATAAACTTACACGTGGTCAGTGAAGGAAGGAGAAAAATAATTACTATTACAGAATCTGATTCTTAAGTCTCCTTGCCTCCCTCTGATTTCTGGGCTGCTGTAAACCGAGTGTATTTACTTAGAGGTATCCACAATGCTCTGGAATTCAGAGATTCAATTTTGCATTCAAGTCAGGTATGCACTAGAGACAAGTCTGACTCCTCTACCCCAATAGGATACCCAGCACCTGAAGTTGAAGTGTTGCATTTCCAAGAAAAGCTGAGCTTGTGAGACAGCCCTCCCTCAAGGCCAAGGTATCCTAACACCAGGGCCCCAGGTTCTGTCTCACCTGTCATGTGCTTTATCCTGCAGGCTCATGCTTGCCAGAGTCTGCCCTAGAGCATGAATGCCTTCCCTGCAAAGCTGCTAACACAGGGACCAGGATATGGCCCTGTGGGTCTCCAGCAGTGAGAACAGAGGTGCAGCATACAGACTCCTTCTGTGGCACCTCAATCACCCGACTAGCTACTTCCTGTCAAGAGTTGTTTGTTTCTATGAGCTTTTATTGATGCTGAGTCCTGTATCAAAGTAGGGAGAAAGGAGAATGAGTGCAGGGGAAAGCTAATTTTATGCCCTTTCCTCCCTAGGAGGCACATGTTGAAATAGTGTTTGGAGTCACCAGCCAGCACAGAAAGGACACTTGAAATAAAATAAAATAAAATAAAATAAAATAAAATAAAAATAAAACAAAAACTAATGTATGCACAAACAAAACTAAATTCTCTCCATTGGATTTTATTTGGGACATTAAACTCCTTTAATTGTAATATCCCTCTGGGAATTATCTATTTATATTTTTGTTTTAAATCCCATAGCCAGCGTACCAGCCCCAGATCGCTGTGAAGGGAGACGCAATGACACTCCAGGTACAGGGGAGATTTTTAGGGATAAGGAAGGAGGGGACTGTGGAGAGGGAAGGTGCATTTTCCTGCACAGGGAGAATCAGGAAGCAGCTGGTGGTTTCTCTTTGATCTTTCCAGGGCCAGCTTCTTCTTGGAACAGCTCCCTCCTCCTCCTTGGGGGAACTGTCCCTCCCTCATCCCCACTCCCTCCCTTCTTCTCCCCACCCCCAAAAGACAGCAAGAGCAGAGTTCTTCAGTTATTACCTAAGATTCATCCTGACCTATGTTCACTTCAAAAGAAAACACCTGAAATATTTTACCTAAACCAGAGTATTCAAGTGAAAGTGAAAGGAAAGCCAGTAAATTGAGTAGGACAATGATGGCAGTGATTCTTCTCTATGTTTAGAAAGTGTGAAACTAGAACGGGCAAACATGCACTGGGCTGTGGCTCACCGAGTTAAGTGGAGCAGAAAGGTCCCAAGTGTGTTTGTGGAACTAGGTGAATTAACCAGGAGTGAGTTATGAGCAGGCACCGTCTTGCTTTCTTTTCCCTCTGGTCATTTTAATGTCACTTGAGAGCAGAAATATTATAGGGAAAAAACCCCTTATATTTACAAATTAGTTGGAACCAAATTAATTCTATCAGAGACAATTTTGTGGAGTAAATGGGAAGTATGAACAAATAACAGTTACAACGCCCACAGTTTATTTACTGGCTGCTTTTATTGTATTTGTCAGTAGCGTAGGTTAACTCCCCTAGCTGAATTCTAATTTGTTATCTAGAAGGAACCCAATCAAATCTCACTTGGGGTCTGCATTCCTGCACACTCACTGCCCTCTAGGTGCGGCTCTCACCACAACAGTATTTGCTGACCTGATTCCTCTGTGCTTAGGACCAAGGGACCAAGCACTGCCAGGCAGACGAGGGCCTGGCGAGCAAGCAGGGAACCACAGGCTAGGCCTCTCTTTTCATCCCAGTGTAGCCACTGGCCAGCTTTATGACCTTGGGGAAGTCCATTAATCTTTCTGAGCCTCAGTTTTCTCACTTGTAAAATGGGGCTAAATGCACCTGAGAGAGTTATTGGGTGGCTCGATGACAGAATGCATACAAATCCCTTTTATACCCTGTGAATCATCATGTAATCATAAGAATCTCTAGTAACACAATCATGGGTGGGGTAATGGTTTTAGGAACTGTGTCATGCTTGTGACTGAAGACCCTAGGCTTTTCCTCATGACCTACTGGCAAGTGAATCATCTTCATCTCCTAACTGATGTTTCGAAACTCCGCAAGGATCTTTCCAATGCTGCCACGTCAAATTCCACCGTGTTGATGTCAACTTAGGGCTCTGGAAACTCTGGGATAATTCTGGATTTAGATTGTGTCACTTGGTGCACTGTTTACCCCTCCGAGCCATGTCATTTGCTCAGCTGATCTATCTCCTTGAGTTGTTACAAGCTATTGATGGAAATGTTAACCAATACAGTGTCAGAGAAAGACTTGCCCTGTCCATTAGAGACTACTTAAAGGCATCAAGAAACAACAGAGGCAGCCATGATGACTGCTGGTTATTTACTCAGTTGTGAGGCCAGTTGAGAAAGTTGTTTAATCCTTTCATGCATCTTTTTCCATTCCTGAACTACAGCCTCATTCATTCAGATAGGTCTCATCCTCATTCTGCTAAACCCACTCTTTCTCAAGCTTGTCAGTAATTCTATCCACAAATCCAGAAGCCCATGCTCTATCCCTACTTGCTCAAGCTCCTTAAACAGCCAAGCCCAAAAGAAATAAACCTTTTCTCTTTTTGAGGTGGTATTTCCCAGGTGTTTGTTACAGTAACAGAAAGCTGATTAAGACAAGTGATCATGTCGATATAGGTCTGAATTAAATGTAAATCTTCTTTCCTAATTAGAAAATATCAGAAGAAGAAAGAGAGATCAATGTGATCTTCTGTTTGTTAAAGCAGTATTTATCAGATGAGATCAGGCGTGTTCATGATGATATGGCTCTAGACTTGAAGCGATATTTATTACCATACTATTTGCATAGAAGCATCTCTTGGTGTTCTTTGTTTCATGATCAGGAATATATTACCCAGAGTGTCGCAGAAAAGATGTATGGAAAGGAGAATTTATTCTGTAAAACTGCTTGGGCCCCCACTGGCTCCTTCCCTGAATTTACCCCATAATTCTTGTTTCCTAGGGTTCTACATGGAAGTCACTGAAGAGCCCCAGGGATACAGATGGTCTCATCCTCAAATGTTTTAAAACTAAGTGGGAAAAATATGACCCACATACATGAATATAAAAGTACCTTATCAACTATCAAGTGACACGTTATAGAAGTACAACGTGGCACTGGAACGGTTACTTTGGGCCTCCAGCATCCTTATACTAACGCCTTTACTTCCCTCCTCCATGTTAGATATTCTTCTTTAACTGAAGTTGGATTATATACAGATTCCAAGCTTTCCATGACTGACATATGGACCAACACACTACAGCCCACATACCGTCAATCATCCAAACCAAGACTATAGTCCCAATCCAAGTCTCAGGGACTTCTCACCTACACCTTCCACTATTAATTCACATCACAATACTTTGGATGACAAGCAAGACTTCATCTCAAAGGATGATTACCCAACCTCTAATAGCGAAGATAAAATTTGCCCTCTTCAGTGAGTTTCCTGAAGGTTGGCAGGACCTCTGTACCTGGGGAGAGATGTGATTTTCCCCCATTTCTCAATGCAGAAACGCCGAAGGCCATTGCTTCCTCGAAGGGCTGCGAAGCCTTCATAGGGCACGCTTGAGGTTCCTGTGACAAACTGCAGCAATCTCAGTCTCTGCTCATTATTGAAGCGTTCCACTGCAGCCCAGAACCAGCGGATCACAAGGTGCCCGTCATGATAGCCTGATGGGAACAAAGAGAGGGAGAGGGGATGTGGAGAATGGAACACAGGTAAGGTATATTAACAGAACAATGGCTTTGGATCTGCTGATTTTGATTTTTTCTCTCTCTCCTTCCCCTTCCTTTTTGTGGTACTAGGCTTTCCTGATAAGCTACATCCCTGACTCCCTCCACCCCTTCCTGGCCTTTCTAAAATTTTAAAATTTTGAGACAGGGTTTCACTAAGTCCGTAAGTTGCCCAACCTTGGCTCATACTTGAGATCTTTCTGCCTTAGCCTCCCAGAGTGCTAGAATTACAGACTTGATGCTGATTTTTCTAATAATGGCCTTTAGATAGGTTAGGTCTAAAATAATTTGTGCAGCTAGGTCAAGTTTTAAAACAAAAGCAGATTTAGAAAATAGCTATTTTATAAAAAGACCTTATATTCTGGAGATGTCCTCAGAGATATTTCCTATTTAAACAACTGGGACACCACTTTAAATGTCCCTGCCTTATATAAATGTCGATGAGGAACAGGAAGGCTTGGTAGAGACAGACCCTCTGTGGATATAGGTTTTCACCTTTGTTCTGACGTTTTAGCTTCTGGCAACCCCACACCTCAGGAACAGGGAGAAAGGCTGGGGGTGAACAGCAAGTCTGGTTGAAGGTGCTGGCAGCCATCACTGCTGCCAGGAGAAGCCCTGTGCCATTATCAGTGGTTTCTGGGGCCCTGGTGGGACCTATGGTAGAAGTACTGGCCCCTCTCTCTTAGGCAGGAAAGGCCAAGCTAAGACTGATCAATGAAGATAAATGATACATCACAAATGTAAGAGGCATTCAGAGATGGGAGAAATCTGTGTGGGTTGAGGCAGAAACAGAGACAGCTTCATAATGGACCTGGGGTATGAGTTCAGGATGGGAAGGATTGGATAAGTGGAGAAAAGGGGAACAACATTTTTGGCAAACGAACTAACAATAAGGATGAAAAAAACATGCAGGGACCATTCAGCTGGCCAGCACAGAGGGCTTGATAGCTAGGCAGAGACATTCTGTCCGACACTGCAGACCAGCAGTTTCCACACCAGGCCAACTAGAAGTTCTAGAGGGTTCCGGTCGCAGAGTATAGTGGGGAGCGAGGAAGCTAATGGCACCCCCAGTTTCCTCTCTCTCTGATCCATTGGTTGGGTTTCTCTGTAATATTTTACATGAAGGAAGGGTTATGAGACTTAAAAAAAAAACTTTTACAAAGGTCTGTAAGGAGCATATTTGTGGGTAGGGAAATGGCCTAATGAAAATGATGTTTCAGGCCAGGCATGGTGGTACACACTTTTAACCCAGCACTCTGGGAGGCTGAGGCAGGAGGATAGCAAGTTTGAGCCCAGCCTGTACAATTTAGCGACTCAGAGACACCTCGTGTTAAAAATAAAATACTGAAAAAGGGGCTGGGGAGGTAGCTCAGTGTGAAGTTCCCGGGCTTAATCCTCAGGGCCACAGAACAGTAACAGGTTTCAGGGAGCCTACTTTGGCATCATGCAGGGTGAGCAGATAGGAGGGGCTCCAGAGAGACCACAGTTAGAGGTGCAGAGGGCCTGTTAGGGTTTGCATCTAGCTGTCCCCCGAAAGGCTCATGTGGTCATAGAGCTTTTTCAGAGGTGGCTGAGTCTAGAGTGTGTGATGCTGAAATTAAGGGTGTGTGATCATAAAATCAGTCCACTGACTGCTTTGGCTCCACCCTAATCCCAGTAGTCCGGAAAAGATAAAAGGGGCAGAAGGCACTGTTAAGGTCCCTTGCTGCTTTTGCTGCCGTGTGGGTGCCATGAACTGTTTCTCACTGGCAAGGCCTGTCTGCCACACCACCCTGTCTTGGAGCTGGCCGATTATGGACTGAAACCTCTATGAACTGTAAGCCAAATAAATCTTCCCCCCTTTAACTTTGGGTGTCAGATATTTTGTTCCAGCAATGAGAGAAAAGTAACGAAGACAGGGCCCTAATCACAGGAAGCAAGAGATGCTTTCTGGACAGCCCACCATCCACTCTATCCTCTGTAAGCTTTTGCTCAGTTTGGCCAGGGATTATTGTCCCTGGAAGGAGTGTTCAGTGTAAGCACCCACTTTGTGTTGGAGTAAGGCCATGCTTCTTACACTCTCCAGAAAATGATGAATTGGGCTAGGGATGCAGCTCAAAGTGGAGCACTAGCTTAATATGCACAAGGCCCTGGAGTCAATCCCCAGCAAAGAAAACAGCAACAACAACAGTAAATTATATGTATACACGATGAACTATTACTCAGTCTTGAAAAGGAATGAAGAATAGAAACATGCTGCAACATGGATAAATCTCAAGATAGTATTCTAAGTCAAAGAAGACAGACATAAAAAGACTTTTGTAGATTCTACTCATAACACATATCTAGAGTAGGAAAATCTACAGAAACAGAATGCAGATAGATGGTTGAAGGGTTGGAGAGAGAGGAGAGCAGGAGGTGGGGAACAACCGACTACTGGGTACAAGGTTTCCTTTCAGGGTGATGAAAGTACTTTGGAGCTAGCTAGAGGTTATCTGGTTGGAGAACGCTGTGAATGTACTGAATGCCGTTGAACCGTTCACTTTAAAGTGATCAATTTTATATCATGTCAATTTCACCTGAACAAAAATTTTTTTAAAAAAGCGATGAACTCTGTTTGTGGCAGGATCATCACACCCAGGGCTTACTCACCTCCCCGGTACTCGGTATTATTCCGCCAGTCGTTCAGGTCAATCTCTGCAGTACCAGCAATCACCAGCTCCAGCTCCCTGGCATCGAACACGGAGACCAGCCTTGAGTCTACGACCTGAGACACAGACTGGCTTCAGTATAGAGGTCCACATGCCATGGCAGGATATAGTCACCTGATTATTACATGGGTTAAACTGGGGACCTGACATCACTGTTTCTTTCTTTTTTTTTTTCCAACATGCAATTATGTTTATGTTCAAAATCGTTGTAATGATCTGAATGCTTAGCCCCCTCCCCCAACCTCATTCATGTGTTGAAATCTTCACCTCCAAGGTGATGGCCTTAGGAGGTGAGGCCGTTGGAGTCATTCGGTGCAGCCCTCATGAATGGGTTTCAGGCTCTTTATCAAAGAGGCTCCAGAATGACCCCTTTCCCTTCCTCTGAGTGGGGACATGGCAAGAAACTGCCATCTGTGAACAAAAGACACTAAATCTGTTAATGCCTCTTCATCTTGGACTTCCCAGCCTCCAAAAACTGAAAAATAGACTTCCGGTGCTTATGTGTGGTTTTATTGTTAACCAGGATGGATGAAGGCAGTCACTGAGGTAAACATCTTGGCACATAACCCTTCATGGGCTGGCAATAGAAAACAGATCCCAGGGTCTGCACCACCTCAGACAAGCACTCCGGGAGGAAGGTCACAAACAACCCCGACTTGACTTTCTGAAGTCACACTGAAATTTCCAAGAAACACTGCATTGTAAAGGCAAAAAATTCAAATCATTCGCAAGTGACTTAGTAGTTATTACTATTACCATTTCACTTAAAGTGTACTTTTGTCACATAAATTATGACTCGTTTGTTAGGACCAGGCATTATATGTTAAAATGACCACATTTCCTGCTGCTCTCGCCTCACTTCCTTCCTCCCTCTTTTAAAGATCTGGGAGGACCTGCTTGTTCCTTGGGGCTCTCTGCTCTGGCTCTACAGCTTGTGGCAAATGTGCCAGGCTCAAGTGACCCTCTACAATTACACTCTGAGTAAACCAGTGATGGACGGCCCAGCAGCTGATGCTCTTCTCTTTTCCTGGCAGGGAAAGAGAACCTTTCACGGCCTGAGATCCAAGAAAACATCTACAGCCTCTTACTTCTGAACTGGAGAAGTGTAAGAACATCATTTTTGTACACAAGAAGCCTAGCAGCTGTCACTGTCTTCTCTGTTTACCAGTTGGCGTAGCTGATGTGGCACAAAACGATATTACAACAAAATGAAAATCTAGCAAGAGTGGACAACGCCCCCAAATGCTCACAGTATGTTCAGTTCAAAGAGACACTGAAAGTTCCTACATCTGGCACAGCAGAGCTACATTGCTGGGAGTTTTTGAGAGCATTTTCCTCTCTGACATTTTCCTCTCTGCTGGGTTTCCCAGAGCACTGTGGTCCTTCATGCTCTGAAGCACAGCTAGGTCTTCTGACCGCCTTGCTTCTCCCTCCCCACTCTTCTCACTGAGCTGCTGTCCCCAAGGACCCTTGAGGAGCAGGGGCCCTGACAGCCTTCCCCAGGCCTCACCTCGTAGAAGCCCCGCACCAGTGCCTCAGTCTGCTGCACCACGCCACGCTCCACCCGCCACTTCACCATCCTCTCGATGTACTCCTTCTTGTTCTTCTCTGTCACCTGGGTGTTGGCTCCGCCAGACTTCAACTCCCTTTCCGTTACCTGTGGGGGAACAGGAAGGCCATGATGCTTACCCATGAAGCTCATCTCCTGGGCAGACATTTTGATTTCAGGAGCCTACCGCAGCATCTCAGAAGACTTGCAGATTTTGTGTCTTCCTCTCCCTCTCCCTCCCTTCTTTTCTTTCTGTTCTTTCTTTTTTTGTGGCACTGGAGATTGAACCAGGGCCTTTGGTGTGGGATACATACTGAATCCTTTTTAATTTTTTAATTTTGAGACAGGTTCTTCCTAAGTTGCTAAGTTGCCCAGGCTGGGCTTGATCTTGGGATCCTCCTGCTTCAGCCTCCCATGGTGCTGAATTTATAGGAATGTGCCACAATGCCTGCCTCTGTATTCACATTATGGCATTTTAATCTTGTTTTTGGTGCACTTTGCCATGCAGAAGTAAAACAAAACTTTATTTATTTATGTCAGTCTTTTATGGCTTTGAGCTTTTGTGCTATATCTACAGCAGTATTCCTTGCTGCAACACTACAAATAAAAATTCTTCTTCCTTCTTCTTTCTCTCCTTTCCTTCTTTAATTCAGCATATATATTTTTATATACTTTAATTCATATATATATGAATTGAAAGTAGGGACTTGAACACATATTTGCCCATTCATGGTCATAGTAGCAGTATTATTCACAACACCCCAAAAGTGGAAGAAATTCAGGTGCCTATCAACAGGTGAATAGATGAATGATAAAACTGACACATACATACAATGGAATATCACTGAGCCTTAAAAAGAAAGAAAACTCTGACACAAGCTCCCACCTGGACAAACCTCGAAGACATTAGGCTAAGTGAAATAAGTCAGTCACAAAAGACTAACGTTGCATGTTTCCACTTATATGCACTAGGCAGGGCAGTCAAGTTCCTAAAACAGAGGTTGAATAGAGTTGCCAGGAGCTCAGCGGTGAGAGAAATGGAGACTTTGTTTAATGGGCAGAGTTTCAGTTTTGCAAGATGAAAAGGTTCTGGAGATTGGATGCCCCACAATGAGAATGTGCTTAATAATATTGAGACGCACACTTAAAATGGTTAAGATGGTAAATTTTGTCATATGTTTTCACCACAATAAAACACAAAATCCCTCTCCATACCCGCATCACACAAACCTGTCCAAAAACCTCTTCATTAACAGTGAAAGTGAGGTCAAGGATATCTGTGATGTTGTTGTCCTTCATCCATTGCAAGCTCTGGTGGAATTCCTCGTCCAGATATTCCAGGTCACTTAAATCACAGGGCCTGTGTGGATTCCAAGGGTGTAAGATGGACAGAATTAGGGGCCAAATTGCAGCCCAAACCCTACTGCAAAATGTGGTTATGCCACTTTGGGCTAAAATACTACAGACTTAACAATTTGATAATTTTGAATATACTGCTAAGTCAGCATAATTGACAATTTTGGTTCATTCAATAATTCTCCTTTGAACACAAGCTATTAAAAATGTTACAATAATAAAGTAATTATAAATAATCACTGACTCATGGACTCTCATAAAAGCCACTATGTGGTATGATTGCAAAGTACAGTGAATGTTTAAATTTTAAAAATTATTACAGTAAAAGACCATTAATCCCCCTCAAAGTACTCTCTTTCTCTTCTGACATATTTATCCCATCTTTCTTTTCACTGTCTGAAGCAGCTCTGGAAGTCATTTTTCATGAGTGTCTTTAGTTGTGCTGTCATGGCTGCCCTGGTGTCCTGAATTGATTCAAAATGTTTACTTTTCATGGTCATTTTGATGTTGGAGAAGAGCCAGAAGTCACACAGTCCCATCCAAGGTGGATGAGGACACATCATAATGCTTTTATGGGCCTGCCTTTCTGTGGGATGGTACTTAGCAATAGCATGCTCTGCATTTTTGATCCCACCTTGTAAAGACACTCAGGAAAGAGAACTTCCAGAACTGCTTCAGAAAGTGGCAAGAACAATGGGAAGGAATGTGTCAGAACAGAAGTGAGGAGGCAGATTTTGAGGGGGATAAATGGTAATGTGTCTTTTACTGTAATGAATTTTTTAAGAATTTGAACATTCACTGTGCTTTTCTATCACATTTTGTAAGGGATAAGCAAATCAATTCTGCTTAATAGTTTATTGCAATGTTTGTAATATTATAATTTTTATACAAACTGATTGATGTCCATTATATGATGTTTTGCTAAGAGTCTTTTCCTATGTTTACATAAATGCCCCAAATGCCTTTAATTACACTAAAAAGTGTATGTGACCTGCAAAGCCATTCAGAACAGGAACCTAACAGGAATGATTGGAGCAAAACAGAGACAAAGGGCCCAAGGCACCAGCGAGACCAGCGCTGCTGTCCTGCAGAAAGGCTGCGTGGCCACTGTCTGCTGTACACTTACAGCCTCAGGAGCGCCTTATAGAAGGGCCTCGTGAAGAAAGCGTCCAGAAGGTACTGATGGATTAGGGCCAGGCCCAGGATTCGACCACTAAACCTAAACCTGGAACACAGACAAGGCAGAGAAATTTGAGGATCAGTGGGAATTACAACATTAAATATTATAATTTGTAGTTTTATTTCATGTGTTTCTGTCTAGCATTCGTCCATTTTAAGGTGCTTCAGGGATTTTCACACAGATGTTGCAATGGCAGCAGCCATTTCAGCCATTTCCTGTCCTTCTTACTCTTTACCATAAACAGTGCCATGTGCTTGATATGTATTTAAGGAAACCTCCTCTCCCAATGTACCAGAATAGTCATTTTTTCCAGAATCTTCTCAGAACTGGGATTATTAGGATCCAAGAAGAAGGAAGTACCAGGGAAGGAGAATGCAGGAATCTGAGATAAAAGGCCCACACCAATCCAAGGAGAACCTGAACCCATGGACACAGAAAGCTTTCTGGTCAAGAGCGTCCTTACCTATTCAAGCCTTCTATATTATCTCCTGAATGTCCATGCTGGGAGGTAGAGGATTTAAGTGTGAATCATGTCTGGTACTTGTGCTCAGACAGTGGGAAGAGTTATATGCAATCGAAATGGGATAGGAGATATGCTAACTGAGCATCAAGGATTCTACTGTCTGCCATATTCAAAGAAAGAATAAGGCCCCTGCTGGGAAGAACTGGTCATGTTTACCGGGCCACCTCCAGAAGGGCCCTTACTGGTTTAAATCCTTGTTGGTAACTGCTTCCTGGAATTTCTGCTGATGGGAGATGCTGAGGCTACCTGGAGCTTGATACAGTATGGCCTTGCTCCTGAACCAGCTTCCAATCTGCCTGGCACAGCAGTGTGTGACTTCCTACCATGAGTACCTTGCTCACCTCTGTGCCTAGCTCCATAACAGGGTCCCCTGTCTCCTATCCAACCAGCTTTTCATCTAATCACAGATTTAGTTGTGACTTTTCTCACGTCAGCATAATTGGAATTTCTAACTAACTCATCTCTTATTGCCTTCCATGTGGCTTTTTTCAAGATTCCCTATTCTATACAAGATGTAGTAAAAACATATGGTGAATGTTGAAATTTTTAAGAATTAGAGCAAAAGACACATTGCCAAAAATCCCCCTCAAAATATTCTCCTCTCTTCTTATCCCATGTTATTGCCACTTTCTAAAGCAGTTCCGGAAGTTGTCTCTCTTGTTTTCACAAGGCATAAGAAAAAATACAAACAGCCTGGTGTGGTGGCACCTGCCTGTAATCCCAGAACTCAGGAGGGTGAGGCAGAAGGATTTCAGTGAGTTCGAGGCCAGACTGGGCTACATAGTGAGTTCAAGACCAACCTGAATTACACAGCACGATGCTGTCTCAACAACAACAACAACAACAACAACAACAACAACAACTGCTGTTTGCCCAGTGCCATGCAATGGAAAGCCAGGCTTGTAAAAGGATTACAATGTGTCCTTGGAATGGTTAATATCTACATGTCCCTCTGAAAACTCACGTGCTTATGGCAGGGGCCACTGGAAGGTGGCTGGATTATGGCGGCCTATAGATGACTTGCTTTTAGAAGGTGGGGTCTGGTTGGAAGAGCTGGGTCACTGGGAGTGTGGCCTGAAAGGGTTTTTCTCCCTCCCCAGATTCTCCCTTCTCTCTCTGCTTCTGTCTGCCATGCTGTGAGGCGTTCTCCCCCACCCTGCACCTCTGCCATGCCACCCTGCCTTGGAACCACCGGACTATTGACTGAAACCTCTGCAAACTGTGAGCTGAAATAAACCTTTCCTCCTTTAATTTATTGGTGTCAAGTATCGTGTCCCAGGGATGAGGAAAGTAATTATGACAGTCCTCATCCGCCTTCTTCACTGATCTGGCGCCATGCAATCTCTGGCTCTTCTCCAAAGTCAAAATGACCATGAAATATGAACATTTTGAATCAATTCAGGACACTGAGGCAGCCATAGTCTGGGGAAGGTTAGCAAGAAAGAAAACTACAGTAAATCCCCTTATGAATATTCCAGTTGTGAACTTTCACAGATATGAACAGACCTCACACTATGAACATTCATATATGCAAACAAATCACAGAAGTAGATCATGTGTCTGCTGGACACTATCACAGTTGTGACATACTGTGTGCTTACTGTACAGTGCAGTAGTGTACAGTAGTACAGTACAGTCAGGGACTTACTGCATTTTTGTGTGTGTTTGATTTTTTAATGCTTTACATTGTATATTTGTGTCAAAGGTGAATAAGACTCACTTTTTTAGATACAGGAAGGAATGTACTTACTAATATTCTCCTGGAATGGAACTTATTCATAAGTTGGGGACTTACTGTAAAGAGATCTCACTTGAATATATAAAATCCTAAATAAAACACAACAGAACTGAACTTAACACTTTATCCTCAGAAAAATGTAAAATGATTAAGGATGTTTAATTTTTAGGAAACAAAAGATAATATTAGGAATTTATTAATAAAATTAATCACAAGGTCAAAAGACAAAGTCATGTGGCTTTTTTATTATTGTTAAAGTTTATTATTGAAAAGATACTTGATAATACCCATCACCAATTTCTAGAGAAAAACATTCTTGTAGTAAATCAGAATAGAAGAATGTTTACTTAGCTTATTAATTAGCATCTATCTTAGCACTATACGGTTGGCCCTCTGTGTCCTTCACATCCATGGATTCAACCAAATGTATATTGAAAATATTCAGGAAAGGAAAAACATCTGGATTGAACATGTACGTGTGTACATGCTTCTTAAAAATACAGCATAATAAGTATTTACGTAGCATTTATATTGATTAGATCTTATGGATGATCTAGAGAGATGATTTAAAGTATATGAGAGGATATGTATAGGTCATATGTAAATATTATGGGATTTTTTGGTAGGGTATGTGAGCTCTGTGGATTGTGATATGGAGAGGGAGGCTCTGGATATCAAGGGTTGAAGGTTTATAACAGTAAAAAAAATAGAAGAATGCTGGTTATCATCACTTTGCATAATGTTCTATCAGTTTTAGTCACTGTAGTTAATTATAAATGATAAATTGGAAATAGATTTTAGAATTAACTTTTATTGCATAGCTACTGAGGCAAGGCATGTTACTGAGAATAGCTCACTGGCCCTCACTACAACTGGTAGCATCTATCTTAGCAATAACATGTTGACTCAATAGCCATGCAATAAAAGTTATTTCTATTTACCCTCCTCATCCAGTTTTTTTCCCCTTGGCTCCTCTCTGTTCTTTTTTTATTGATCTTTCACTGCCAATGCTTCCCATGGATAACTTCCTGGTTCCAAGCACCCAGAAAGGCCAACCTGACCCTCTCTGACCCAGGCTCAATTTCCAGCCTGATTCACTGATGGTTTCCCTTCAGGTTGGATGCCCACCTTGGATCAATCATGAGTGACTTCGGAGGGAATGCCAGAGTTTGGAGTCTTGTCAGCACTTTGCACCTAGGGTCATTCTTGCTTCTTTCTCAACTAACAGGTGGGACCAAGGGAGTGTAGGAGAGGAGGGGCTTTCCTCACTGAAAGAATGCCATGCAGACCACCAGTAAAGAATTGTTTATTTGCTTTGAATGGAATAGTCCATCATATGGAATTTCTAAAGGCAAAATTACACTGGGTTCACAGGCCAATGTGTATGACAAGCAGGCATTAGATTTCCCTAACTGTGCAAGCAGGCTGTGATAATGTGGTGTGGCTTCATACAAACACAGACGGCACGGCTCTTAGCCAGCCCAGAATACACAGTAACGTGTATTCCAGAGCGATGAACTATGATCTGGGATACCTTTGTATGAAGCACAATGAGGCAACTGTACAATTCAAATGAAAAAACAATAGTTTAAAAAGATTGGAAGGGAAAAGCTTTACCAGTGGATGAATGGCTGTGGTGTACTTCCATGAATGAGAAAACACCTTCTAATAATTGTGCTCTTTCTTTATTTATCTTCCTGACCTTGACCTGGTCAGGTTACAAATGTGTAAGAAGTGTGACACAAAGGAAATGCTTTTCTTTAGGTTCTGGATCTCAGACAGTATGTCCACAAGCATAGCGAGAAGATAGCTAACGAAATGATCCACATGATTTCAGCCCCACCAAACATTTGTATTTTGATCGAAGTTGGATGGCACAAATAAAGAGATCTGGGGATTCATTAAAATAAGACCCTAGAGAAGCAGCAGAGGACCTCTGTCTCCCTGTGGGTGTTCAGGTATTACTTTAATATCCAGGCCCAGGTACCCAGGTCTAGGGATCTCAGTTACTCTGTCTTCCCTGGGGGCCCCAGAACCAGTCTTGTCTGATATCGCAAGCCAGCCCTGCTCCTAGGGGGTGGTCCTGCTCCTGTTTTCAGAGCTGGCATTTTTGAGACCATGCTCAAATGCAGCTCCTACCACCTCGGCCTTTGGATCCCAGCCCATGGCCTGTGTGCTAAATGTGCTGCCTGTTCCAGTGCTACCACTGTCCACCCAGGTTGCCTGAGCTCTGTTCTGAGCAGCCTGAACTCCTGTTTATTTTGCCAGGGGGAATGGCCCCTCTGGCTTGACATGCTCTGTTAGATGGTGGAGCTGCCTGGGCCCTGAGAGTTTCCTGAGCCTCTTTTGGAGTTTGCTCAGGGTCCTTCAATCCTTAGCATGGCAAGGTTATGGTGGGTTTAGGGGACAGCTACCACCCCTTGTTCACATTTCTGCCTCAGGCTTTTGGGGCCACTCTGGCTTACAGTGCTATTCTTCCGCCTCTCTTGGGCTGTATGTGTGGATAATTTGCAGACTTTTCAATCTGACCCACTGACCATATGGTTTGTGGAAACATCCCCTGGACTCTGAAATAAGTTATTTTCATGTCCTTGGTTTTAGTAGGTTGCCAGGCTTTGCTTTTGGTATCATCAACTCTTTCCTTCAGCTGAAGAAAAATAACAGAACTGAGTATCTTTTAATGTCAAGGAAAATACAAGCAATATGGAAAATAGCAAACAAAAAATAACTCAAATCTAGCAGCCAAGGCAACATCTGTGGTCGTGAGTGGACTCTGACCCTGAG